GCCAGCGATAACAATTTCTCAAGCAGAAACGCGGTTCCCCTGATGTGAATCGGAGTTTCTTATATGGCGCCCTAAACAGGACAGGGGAATATGAATGCTTCACCTATGAAGCAAAGGCGGCCCTACACATAATTCCAGGAAGGGCAAATATTCTCAGTTTGACTATCGATTTCGATTATATCCACCGTATGCTCCAAGCAGGTTGGTGCAGGGACAGTGATTTGCTCGTGAGTTAGTTTTAAGTGATAGTAGACTTGCGCTGTTTCAGTGAGAGCATATTATGCGCTGCTTCCTCGAATTCGGAAGTTCCTATGGCAGCGTCAACTAGCGACAGTGAGGAAGAATTTCGGGCAGGATTGACTTTGGAGACTCTAAATCCCGTCGAATTATAAAAAAGAAAACTACTTTTAAATTTTCTGTAGCCCGACTTTCCATTTTTTCGTTCAATTCTTCCAATAGGAGGTGAAATTTCCATTTTCTTTAAATTCCGCCTACTGAAGATCAAATTACCCTCAAGTGGCATCCATACCCTGCGCAACAGGAGTTCATGTTGACAGAATTTTATTCTTTTTTATTATATTAAAACAAACATAATCTCATTTAGTGTAATATTTTTTATCACTTCCGCCACAATTCAGTATTCATTTGCACTCACAAGTCAAGCCTTAAATGTTTAAGCACAAAATATGTTAGGCAGTTGGGCGGGAAAACATATATTTATAGGGCTTTACAAGTCAGTTTGTCGAATGACGATAAGGCTGCGCAACCTGCAGCAACCATGGTTCAAGTTCGGCCAATCGAATCTCCGCACAGGCCTAGAGCCACTGTTACCGTTCACGTTCGACCATTCCCTGTTGACTACTGTTACAAATTCCGTTTTTTTCCATCCTTAGACGCAGACACCGAAAAAATATCCTGTATTGCCTCTATCAGATGAAGTCATCACGATTGCTGTGTAATAATGCTCAATCTTACTGTGTAACTAGGACGATCCGGTGACAATATGTCGGGAAACCATCTTTGCCCAACTAGCATCTTCCTTGCCTTCAGGGCGTGACCCAGAAGTTTGCTTTGAAGAAGTTGCACTGTTCATTTAATTTTGACAGAGTCCCTGACAGTCATAGCAACAGGTACTATAGCCAGATAATACTGCTGCGGTTGTTAGGGGCTCTAGCGGGGCCCCAAGCAGAGCAGGACAGATGAGTTCCGGGAACTTTCATCAATGAAATTTAGTTCTGTCAAACTACATAGCCTATAATATTTGTTTGATATCCAGCAATCTCAAAGTTCGCCATAATCTCCCACCCGTTCCCCTCAAATAAACCGACGAAAAATGTAATTTTTCTTACTAAAAGGCTTTTTGAAGATCACATCAACTCAACAGATCAAAGTACCAAGACCACGCTTAACTATTAACTCGAATTTCCATTACGATGTTGCACGAGCTAGCTTAGACATGTCAGACTGTAGGAGACAGGAACCTACAGTTCAGATTCCAGACCGGACGTTGGAGGTTTGACCTTATCAGATATAATCTGCTTCGTGATTTTTTGTGGGTTCAGCTTCTAATCATCCTCTGGATGTTTCAGTTCTCATGCCACTGTGGTCATTCTTCACACAGGTACCTGGCTCTACCCCTGACCGTCTTACTAGTCAAGGGCTGTATCGTCGACTATGATCGAGCAAGGATCGTCTATGCTGTTGAATTATTTCTCGATCTCTTCGCCAGTGTCGCAATTCTGGTAAGTACAAACCGCAGTTGAGTACGTTTCCATTACACCCTGCTATATTCCAGCCCCAAATTCCTTTTTATTTGATAAGTAGAAGGGGCTGTATGTTGCCTTATGATTAAAAGCATCCCGGGGAGAATACGTACTTTTTTCAACCTCTTGCGAAACGGGGAATTCTAGCTGTGGCTTATACAGGCCTAGTAAACGTTGGTTTGCTTAGGCTAGATAATTGACAGTTCACGTGACGCAGAGATCATCCACGATTGACATATTTCCGCTAACGGAACTCAGTCGGTGAACGTTAATAAACGAGTGTCAATATTTCCCGATCTAACGACTGGCAAGACAACGAACCCTTGGCGCAATGGTTAGAGCGTTAGGCTTCTTTTTTGAAGAAGATGTTCTTTGGGATGGAAATAACTTAAATGAGTGAACTTTCGACTTTTGCGCCCCAACTCGTCTTCGGACTAACAGGAAAAGTGCAATGAACAACTAAAA